CATACTTGATCCGGAGGGTGTGGAACGATGACTGACGCTTGCTGGTTCCCACAATGATACAGGGTGAGTATGTGCTAAATACTTTGTTTGGTCTGGAACGGGTATGGAACGGGTATGGAACGCACACCCAGCTCAACATCACTTTTTAGGTATTGCATTCGATGGTCTGGAACGGAGGGGTCTGGAACGGAATTCGGGGACTTGATCCGGAGCTCTGGATCGGGGTCTGGATCGGGATGTGCGCTCGCCCTTGTTCCGGAGCTTTCATACTGAGCGGTAGCCAAATCTTCTCAGGACGCAACAGACCAGACCTCAACTCTTGAGCCAAGGCTGGGCAGCACGCTTCATCATGTCGCGGCCGTGCATCCACTCCTCTTTCAACGTTATCTCGTCTGTCAGTGTCTTCCTAGAGCTTGTGCGCGGAAAAAAGCTGAGAGTTCCGCAAAGGCCAGCGCAGCTGCATCTCGCCACTCTTCGTTGGCAGCCGTCATGAGAGTCTGACGATACCTTTTGAATGCCCAGGTCCATGCGCACATCTCTGTGGAGATGCATGCAGCTTGGGGCCGGGCTCCGGCCAGCCAGCCACCTGCTCACATCCTGGATCCTGCACCAGTGGACTGCCCTACTCAGAATGAAGGATCAGCAGACCAGAACAGCTGGCAGGCAGAAGTCAACGACCCCTATAAGGGCGTCCGACAAGGCGTGTGCAGACTCTGGCTTCTTGGCAAACCTGAGGCTTGAAAAAGGCCTGCCAACCACGCCGACGCCACATACATGTGCTGCTTCCCAGTCCCAACTGGCCAGGTAGCTCTGGATCATCTGCCAAAGTCAGACCATCTCCGATGTGATCTTTGTTTACCTTCCGTTCGCCTCGCACTTGAGAAGCAGCTCTTCCCGGAAAATGAGAACTCTTCAGGCCTTCTGAAGTTGCACTTGCCCTTTTAAAATTTCAGTTGCAGATAGTGCAACAGAGTGTCCAGGGTCGAAGGCTGGATGAGTGGGTACAGGCGCAGCATCTGCCAAGAGACAAAGCAGCAGCAGCACCGCCTGCAGCACACCGCAATTACCTGTATTACTATTGCAGAAATTACTACCGTTACTACTGTTACTACTTGTGTGTTGGTGCTGACCCAACACTCTCAGCCTTCAGGACCATATACTTCCTGCTCGGTGCCAAGAAGCAGCTGTCGGAACTACTACTTTGTATGCGGTGCGTGAAGTCTCTAGAGAAATAGTTTATAGGGGCCAGGTGTACCCCAGGCCTTCGTATGCATAATGTGCAGGAGTCATGGTTGGAAGGTGCTCGCATGTGATGTGCTTTCTGTTATTTGGCGCTGGCAGCGCTCAACAAAAGTTCTTCTGCACACGGCTCGAGCAATAAACAAGCTCATCAGGAACACAACCCTGCAAATGCCCAAGAAGCATTGGGATCCGCGATGAAACTTCGTCCGGGCGCGGCACGCATTCGACCTAGAGCCGTAACCTTTCGTTGGGAGAAGTTTCTGTGCAGGTGGCGCTGCAGAATTCTTGCGGAGCGGTGCTCCCTGGCACTGTGGACCAATGGAGGAACTGAGGCCCAGGCCAGGTGGCAATCGGCTTGCTCTTCCTCGGTGAGATCTCCAGCTGCCACATCCAAGGCAGCCTCATCCGGCATCATGGCTGAAACACGCCACCACGAAATTGCAAGGAGTGGAATCTTGCATCACGACCATGGCTTGCTAGCCCAGACAAAAGCAACATTGTTACCAGGTGTACTGCTTGCACGTAGCTCTCATGTGCTCATCTTCCCCTACAATTCAGCTTTGAAACAAGACACCCCAAATTGCAACCTCTCAGATGGGAATGGCCTGGCTGTCAACCAAGGCCTCGCGAAGCCGTCCCAGTTCCTCAGACCCAAACTCCAAGTGAGAACATGCCTTTGCAACTGTCCTAAAGAAGAGACATCACTGGATTTCCCGAACCGAACCATGAAGTGTCTAATCTCGACGAAGGGTCCAGGCGTGCCCTGCTCCGCCTCCACAAGAGTCTTGCCTACGTGGGGGTATCGGTGGCAGAAAGGCAGAGGCAGATTGCTATACTTGCATGGGCCAAGTTGTCGGCATGCATTGGTTCCTGTGCGAGAAAGGCATCGAAATCTGCAGCCTAGGCAATCAAAGTCCACAAGCACACTCATTGCGACTGACTTGCGCAGCCTGAGTCTGCCAAGTTGCTGCGTTCAGAGCATCGCCAGACTGGAGCCGAGCCTCTCCTCTCCGCACAGATCGGAGACAAGCCAATGTAAGATCAGGGTCCAGCCCGTCTCCGTCCTCTCACTGCAAACGCTGCAGTGATGCGCCCGTCAGACCTGGGTTTGCAAACAGCCTTTGCATAGCTGATTGTTGTGCCTGAGTGCTCAAAGCCCCAGACCACCAAACCATGGAGTCCTCCTTTTCTTCACAATGCATCCCACTGTGAGTGTCAGGAATCTGGGGCCCCCAGACTGCAGCGTTGCCGTTGCGTCTGCGATTGCACCCTGCAGCTGAGTGCCCGCATGGAAGTCATTATCACAACAGCAACGAAGATGATCAACCGCACGATGACTCTGATAATCACAAAGTTTCTGTAGGACTGAGCAGACGTAGTGGGACAGGAAGTGTTGCTCTTCAATTGTTGACGCTGTTGCTGCTGTTGCTGCGCTGTTCGTGTTGTAGCTGTTGCTGCGGTTGCAGCGGCCGCGGCAGCGGAAATTGGCAATGTCCATGGTGAGGACGGAGGCAGTGCTAGCAGTTGCAGCAGCTGCAGTAGCCGTGAGCGAACAATGTGTCACCTCTATGATAGCAGCTTTGGCGGCAGCTGCGGTAGCAAAACAACAGTAGTAAAACAGCCAAAATTCAGCATCTAGCCCTCGGGCAACGCCCCCAAAGCTCTTGGCTAATCAGCCCCGGGCCTCGAAATCACCGTGCTGAAGCTTTGCCTGAGAACGGTGCAGCCAAATCGTGGGCCAGCGAGACTCCACCTGTCGCAAGACCCCTTGTGCAGAATCCTTGTATCATGCGAGTCTCATCTACTAGTGTGACCTGTGCAAATGCTCACATGCTGGCCTCAATAGCTTTGTCGAAGGCGGCCAACGCACCTGCCACACGGAATGGAGCAGAAGCCACATCGGCTTCAGATCACCCCATGATACCCCAAGTGCCTCCAGTCTCGCCCTTCTTAAGCTCGGCCTTGCAAATTTGTTGCAAGGCATTGCAAGACACACTAGCTACCTTATTGTTCAGCAGTCTTTGCGAGCAAGAGACATCTCCCAAGTTCGAGAAGTCAAAGGCCCGACATGGATCTTTGAACTCGCCCTTCAGCAGCTGCACTGGCATACCTGGGCCTCTGCCAGGCCAAATGAATGCAACACGTGCAGTCCGTGACATCCCAAGCCTCGATGAAGGCGCCAGCTGCATCTGCCCAGCTCGGCCCGTCCCGCCTCCCTCCACCCTGGGGACGCATCCCTTGAGCCGTCCCTTCTCGACGCGCAACACACAACTCAGGCATGAAAGCCTTCCAAATTTTCTGATGCCATTGGCACAGGCTTGGATTTCTAATTACAGGGAGCAACGCTTGGTTTTCTTTTCTCTGTGATCTGCGCATTATGAAGCCAGCGGGTGAGGTCGCTGCAAGGCAGCGGGAACGATGGAAACTGTCTGAGCTGTATGTGGAACAGCTCACTTCCGAAACAACTTGGAAACCGTGAGGTCATGCTTTTTACAACTCCAAACTTTGTTCTCTAATGGCCTGCCTCAAAGCAATCAAGCCGATGCAGCAAGCATCTGGTCAGTTCCACCATGTTCCACCTGCTTGCGCGCAATTGCCATCTGCTTTCTCAGTCTTTGTAAGGCAACTCTGCACGCACTTGCTTCACTTGCTTCGTTGAAGGAAGACATGCCCGGCAACATGGGGCATATCACGACAGGTCTGCATAAAGGCTTTCAACGCGATGGCGCCGGCTGAGCCTACTGCGTACTGCGTAATTCACTTCGTAGTTCATGACATCAGAAAACTTGCCAGGACCTTGTTTAAGAAGGTCATCAAACGCAATCCTTGACCTGATATCTGTGCTCCCATGGGTCTTCGATCCTTCGCAGTCCACCAGCCTTCGCGTTGATCAAACACTTGATCAAATCCATCCTCTCGACCTCGCCCATGACTTCCATCTGCCCCAGGTAGACTCCTCACTTCCCAACTCAGGTCGAATGTATGTTGCAGACTACACTACACAATATGTCTTTTCGCATCTTGGCTCGGCTTCATAGCGGGCAGGGAATGCCTCATGTATATGTCTAGTCCCGTAGTATGTGTAATTCTGTGGATTTTATACATATTTATGTATATGTATACGTGTAAAAATATTTTTCATTTATATCAATATATAACGTAAACAGATTTATGTGTATAATACATACATATATATATACAATGTAGATGATGAGTCTTCAGGTACCGTGCAGCCGGGGTGCTTGGCCATGTGTCGGGCCCTCCTGCTGTGCTGCACATCGTTGTCCCAAATAGATGGAGAAGCTTTATACTCTATAATCCAACGACTCTAATTAAACGCAGGATTCCATTTCATTGTCAATTTGTTCCATTTGAGTCTGCACTACTGGCGTCATATTCCTACTTCCCTGTAACTTCCATTTCATCGTCCACTTCTTTTGCATTTGATTCTGCATTATTGGATACCCTATCAGCCCCAAGCCTTGCTCTCCCAGTCCGCAAGCTCGGCCAGCCGTAGCCGCAATGCCTTGGCCCAGACATCCTCTTCCTTCTGGATGCTGGCCAAGCCAAGCGTGGTGGAAACAGCATGGAGCTGAGCTCATGACCGGCTGGAGGCCTGCCTGTTGAAGCGTTGAAGGTAACTGAATTTTACAATGATGGCAGTTCCGGAATGCTTGTCTGAATTGCAAAATTCTTCCCCAACCAGCCTTGATGAAGGCTGTCAACCTCAGAGCAGCTTTGCTTGGCCACATCAAATGTGACAGCTGGATGCCCATGGAGTCCTAAAGCAAGACAAGGATGACATGCTCGCGAGCAAAAACAACAGGGGCGTGGCCAGTGCGGCCAGCGCCGGCGTACTGGCAAATCCAACTGTGCATCCTGATGCCAGACCAAAAGCACTTACTTTCAAATAGCGGTGAGGACGAAGTCATACTGCCACATGCAGCGTGTCGACTTGCTTTGCTCGATCGGCACAATGGCAACTGCCTCGAAGCACCCGGCCACAAGGGCAATTGCTGGGAACCCCCCGAAAACACCCCAAGAATCCTCTCGGCCCCCCGTATGGAAAACCTGTGGCAAGATATTGGACGAGATGACTGTGATAACCATCCACTACAGCTGGAGGAGGTGGGTTATGGAGGATGGCCAACCTCGAGCAAACCTCGAATGTCCCCTCTGCGCAGTCGGCGTTGCTCCAGCGGAGTACCTGCAACTAGCTGCATCTAGCCGCTCTTCTAGTCTGCGAAGCCATCGAAGTTGCTCATCGCAACATGTGGGAGCACCATGTAGCAGGACAATTCCACCGGCCTGGATATTCCCGCAAACCCTTTTGTCGTCAACAGGCCAGCAGGTGCAAACAGCGAGCAAGCATCTGCTCACTCAACGCATACCGGCAGCCAAGCAGTCATGAGGACAATCATGACGGTTGCGCGACAGGGTCGATGCTTCCAATTGCCTGGCAAACTGATACCTGCCCTATGCTCGCTGCAAGTCCAAGCACGGACTCCGGTGACTGTGGCATGTGAAAGCATGTCTGGTCCGGCCAGTGTGCAATTCCTTGAAGCCACACAGCTTGTTTCTGCTAGCTTGCTCCAGTTCGATTGGAAGCTACGCAGTGAAACCTAGAGCCGCGGAGCGATTGCTCACCTGCTACCTAGTTACCTGCAGTCGTCCCCCGCAGGACTCCTGCCAGCAGTGTTAGTTTAAAACAGGTGTCTATGAACTATGAACTCTCGGTCTGCATAGGTTATATAAATTTCTGAGAAACTGCAAAATCTCGAGTTTGTTGGACCGTGCTCCCTGCTGACCCCAGCTGCACTTGAGTGAGGTTGGGCAAGCAGCGGCGTGGCCCACCAGCTTGGATCAGGTTACTCTCAGAACCCCACCCGACCCATCAACTGGTACTAGGCACAGCAGACACGTGTTGACCCAACCTGCTTTTGGTCTACCTGCTCCGATGGTCTTGCACATATAGCTCAAAGCCCCACGTGCCCAAATGTGCTTCGCAACTGGTTTTCCAGTTCCAGGTATGAAGCATTTCTAAGCAGTTGCCTGGAGCGCGCCAGTATTTGTGAACTCTAGATAAAACTGTTTTTTTGTGCGGCCTGAACCGGCACTACAGCGCAATATCTCCTGAAAGGAGCTCACTCTTCGTGAGGTTTAAAACGCGGGAGGGCTTCCGCTCACTCGTCACTCGTCACCATCCTCACCCGCGGCTGCAAGAATCCTCAAGCGGTGATGGCCAGCTTCAAAGCATTTCTGACTTCCACGGATGGGTTGCTTCCAGCTTGCAACATGGGCAAAAAGGAGTCATGCAGTACTGGCGCCTCATCACATCAGACAACTTAGGGGCCAAGGCTCTTTTGGAGCTTGTCCTTGCTGACATACCCAGTGCCTTTGCGCTCCTGCCAGGTTCCCGAGTTGGCAGACTTGCTGGAACCTCACATTGCTGTATGCAGCCCCAGCATCTCAAAGCCCGCCCTTCGTCCTTGCATCGAGAGGGTCGTCGACCGCTTCCATTTTTGTCTGACACTGCTTCTGCAGTTTGCTGCACTTCTTCCTCGTCGCCCTGAGGCGTGCACAAGGCAAACCAAGCGAGAGGTCTCAACAAACCCCACCATGACAGGTGCAAGCCAAGGTCTCATGGGGGGTCAGAGAAGGGGGCTTCGGGGGTACGGCCACTTCTCGGGCGCCCCATGGCTATGTACACCCTAGTGACTCTAGCGGCACGCGCCGAAATCGACCGTGTCAGGGCAAACCACGGGCCGAAACTCTAAACACTGCTTCGCGGCCGATGCAAGGCAAGTGCGGATTGGGCAAACTGTCCTATCCAGCATGTCCTGCACGAGCCTCGTCATCCACCTTGGACAGAATGTCCATCATCATCGCCTGCACTGCAGCATCCTCTGGTAGTTCTTGGTAAGCTCTCTTCTTGGAGGCCAAAACCATGCACTGAGAGTCTGAGAATCTCTGCAAGCTTGAGGCCTTTGTGATGAAGCCGGTGCCCTTCCTCACCTTGCTGTGACGGGGCTCCTCATTGTTCGAGTTGACCCTGTCAAACGCTTTCCTCAGTCTAGAGCCAATATGCAACCTTACTCACACCTCCAAGGCGGCAGCATGCGACAGCACAATAGGTTCTGGCTCTGCGTAGTGCTTTTGATAAAGTGCATTCACAAAAACCAATGAGTGCAGCGAAACAAACGGCAGAAATCACCATGGCTATGCCCGTGCAACATGAGTTGCAGGACCTTGTGCATTGTAATTTGCTGCTCGGTTTGGCAGGCCATGTGCTGGCTACGCAATGCAAGTGCAGGCGAGCCACTCCACAACTTCTGGCTTGATGTACTTGTCTCCCTGTGATGTGCCCGTATCATCCTGAGAATGTGGGCAATGTAATAGTAGACATCGCGCAGAGTCGCAAATGATTTAGTCCCACCGCCTGGACCTCTGCGAGAACATCTGATTGGAAGATATCTCGGCACTCTTCTACCCTTAAAGAATGCAGCCGACCATGCTCTTCTTCTGATCTGCTGAAACAGATGAGCTTCCAAGAGGATGGTTTCGATCACGTCCACATTGATCATGACCTCTCCTGTTTTGGCTTTCGATTTGGAAGCCTGCCTGCCTAGCTTCTCCGCGAATTCCTCGGCAGTCACCTGCGCAGAGGTTACACAATCTCTGCACCATGCGCAGATTGTTGACATGTGAAACCTTAACCTTGCTCTAGGTTTTAGATTGACTCTAGATGGCGGGCGAGTGGCAAACATCTCCGAATCTGTGCCGTGCCCGGTGACATTGCACTGGCACAGACCCATGTCTGGAGCCTCTCTAGCGGAAGAGGCGCAGACGTGTTGACAATAAGGCCACGTGTCACGAGTAAAGACCTACCTTGGGCAGCGTCGTGGCTGCGGGTGCGCGTTCAAACATCAGCCAACACTGAGACCCGCCAAAATCCATCATGGTACGATCAGCCAGACTACGTGTAGTATTTCAGTTATCACCTGGAAAGAATTGCCGCCACCGCAAAGCACCCGCACCTGCCTTTGCTGCCTGCTGGTCTGCTACAAGGGTAGCGATCCGGTTCAGGGCAGCAACCGCAGCCTGAGCTTTGTCAGCTCTCAGCTTCACAGTCTAAACCACCATCTTGGTCTCGCACCCAAATGTCAAAGAAAGGCAACTTTGGCCTTCTGGACAGGTTTCAGCACAGTCACGTTGCCACGTTTCAGTTTCGGCCACCTTCTTCTCTGACGGAGACTGCGCGTGGGATGGCGTAGTCTCGATGCTGTTTTCAGGAAGGCCTCAAGTGCTGCTGCAATACAGGAAGTGGCTTTCGAAATGAATTGAGTTGAAAAGAATGGTGCCTCAACACGCTCAGGGCCAATCGAGTAGACTCGCTGGAGGTTGACACCTCAATGCCGTGACAGCAGGCCTGTGCAAGCCTCAGACTTAAGAGGCTCTTGGGTCCATAGGCCCCTGAATGTGAGGGGGAAACGTGTCTGTTGGATCGCCTTTGTCAGAGGCTTCTTCTTGGACTTGCCAAAGACGTCCTGGGGCAGCTGCAGGAGCCAAATGCAGGATGTGCTGCAGCAAGGCCGGCAGCTGGAGTCCTGATTAAGCCTGGCAATGTGCAGCAGACGAAGTAGCTGGAAGTCCGCGATGTAGTCTGCTGCATCGCTGCCCGCCTAATCACACAGGATTCGATGCAGTGATTGAGGCCTTCTGTGAAATGGACTTAAGACATGAATCTTCAGAAGCACGATCATCAACAAGTCATAGTCATCGTCATGGAAGAGGCCTCCTGGACAGCAGCCATGGCACCGCTGTCTTGATAGGTGCCAACCACATTCACGCAATCCCCGAGGACCTTCCAAAGCGATGTCTAGTACCAAGGTGACCAACAGCTTCCCTTGCATGCCACGTTCGGGCAGCTGCATGCTCACGTCTGGCTGGCGTGGCAGAAGCAACTGCTGCACTCTCTCCGTTGCAAGTGAGACGCTCCCGGTAAGAGCAAGTGCTGTGCGGCACGTCTTACAGGAGCTTGGAGAGGCAAAGGCAGCTGGTCATGCCTCAGCCCCACACGTCAAGTTTCCCTTCACAACAAGTATTCCACGCTACCTCCCTGTCTCTTTGGCAATGGCACTGCTTGCACTTCACTGAGCCCACGGTGTACTCGGCAAAGCTCCTCCGGAACATCAACATATAGTCGGCCAACACCTTCATGCAGGAACGGAACCTTCACGGGACCTGACAGCTGCGACAGGTATAGCTTGTCGGTGGACTTCTTGCGCTTTCTTCTCCGGGTGGAGTGCGGCCTGATGGGAAACCCACTAAGCCCTACGCCCACGAAGCCAGTGCAAACTCTTGCTGTGGTCAAAGCACTAGCCTCGTCTTCGCAGCTTTGCCTCGTACAGCGGTAAGGACGGCCCAAAGTTGGGGCAACGGTGGGATCCTCATGCGAAGCAGCGCAACCTGCCCCGGGGTGCCCAAGAAAACGTGTGGGATTCGTGCAGGATCCTCAGACTGCTCTTTCTATCGTTCTGTACATCTCTGACCGGCCGTTGGCCACAAGGCAGCAGCCCTTAAGGCTGTAGTAGCCCGTGCGGTACAGCCGCCGCAAGCATTATCAAAAGCCAAGAAGGGCCAAGCCAAACGCTTGGCAGCGCCGAGCAGGACTGCAACCAAAAGTGCGCAGTCCTGCATTTGTTGCGGCAAATCTTTGGCCGCAGGCAACCGCAGAGCCTTCTCGGCTCCCATCAATCCATAGAATTGCTGTCGACACTAGTCGTCACCAAACACAGCGTCCATCACGTCCACCATATCCTCCACATCAAATTCCCCAGACTCCTCGCCAAACAGTCATGGGCGACGTCTGAGTTTGTGTGGGCGTCATTTTCCCACTTGCAATGCCTACGTCAAGCCTGATCTTCCGATTTTCTGATTTGCTTTCAAGCGTTGACCCCTCAGATTCTCAGAGAGTTTGATGGTACCAACTCCTGTCTCCCTGGCCTTTCTCAAACGCATCTCAACTGGTCAGACATCGGCCGTGTGCTACATGCCTGTGAGAGTACATTACAGCAGTACGTTTGCTCCTGTGACTCGCCACTTTCCCCGCTCTCTTCGTCAAGCTCCTCATCCTTCCGAAGGCTGTGGCAGAAACAGGCTCGTGTGAAAGGCCGCCTTTATGAAACACTGTGCACAAGGTCTTGTAAGCACACCATTCTTTGCTTAACTGGCCTCATCACAACCACTGGGTCTGCTTGCCATTGAGCTTTCCCCGACTGAATCAAGGGAGTTGCGCTGGCCGAGTTCTCGGGCGTATGAATGGTCATCATGCTGGCTGGCCTTGACCAAATCCACCCACGGCACGTACCACGCTTGAAAGGAAGCGATACTTCCTGTGAATCATGAACAAGAAACGCCCCGCTTGCTGGTCAAGATGCAGTGCTGTGCAGCGCAGCGAAGATGTGGCCAGCGCCGAAGCCCAAGCCACCTGAACTCAGACCGTCCAGCAATGCCGCGTAGGGAGCTGAGCCATTCTGGCCTGCAAGGACGAGTACTCTGAGGCTGGGTTGCACGAGCTTTCGGAGTTTTGCTGCCCCTTCTCGCCTTGAGCGCCCCTCAGCATGTTCGCTCCGTTCGGTGCAGCGGCCATTGACCCGAGGAAGCCGGCTAAAAGCGCAGAGGATCCTCTCAGCGAGCCGTTGTCAAAGGATCAAAAGCTACATGCCTGGTCCAGCATGGCACTAAGTGCTGCCGCCAGTCCGGCGCTGTCACCCATTCCAACTCCACATCGAGTTTCCGGTGGGGCGGGCAAAGAAATGGTCGTCAACGAGAAGGGCTGACTTAGCGGAAAGCGGAAAGATCCAATTTTGTTGCTCAAGCCCAAGTTTTCAGGCCAAGGCACCTTAGCTCGATGAGGAGAGAGGTGGCCAGCTGCGGCACCTGCTCAAAGTCTTCCTCCTCAAGGCGAGCCCGGATCCTGCGAGCACAGCCAAGCGCCCCGCATCTCAACGCAAGAAAATGGGCTGTCAAGGTCTCCTTTCCAGCAAGCTCAGGTATGAGAAGGAAGCAGCTGACGGATCCTGGCAATGCACAACTTGGATCCAACTTTGTTCATGGCTTGCATGGCAAGCTGAGAGGTTTTGCAGCTCAATTCAGCCGCTCCTGAAGCGACTCCATAAACACAGAGGTCAATGCACCTCCTGCAGGACCAGTGGAGGATCTTCGATGCCCCATCAGCAAGGATCTTCTGGACGGCTGTACGTGGAACTGCGCTTGGACATTGCCCACATCCGCGCTGTCCAGGGCAAGTTTAGGATAAGCCTTAAAGCCTTGTAGACACTGGCAGGTACGAAGGGTCTTGCTACTGTGGGGCTTTGTGCTACTCACAATTCACACCTGGCAGTTCTCTGGTACAGTAGCTGACCATTCCGGATTCATGAGCCCGCGTTTCTTAATGTGAATTTCCTGATGAGCGTGCCGTTGTTCCCTGCAATTCTGTTTGTGATTTTCTGGGGCTCGATGATTGGGGAGTTGGACGAGCGCAGCTTATGCGTCTTTACATGGCTGGGCTTTCAGGAATCGGTTGCCCCCCAAGTGACAAACTGCAACACGCCTGGTCTGGTCAGAGCGGCAGCCTGTGATGGCCACTACTTCTCCAACAGCAAGCCCAACATTGTCTGCTTCATCGGTGGAGAAGCCGGCTTCGTTCGAACCCTTTGAGGCCTGGTGTTGCTTCCACAGCCCCCACAGCCCCAGGCCCATGCTTGCAGCATCTTCTAGCAGCCCAGCAGGGTTTCCTGAACGCATGGATTGCAAGTCCCGCAGCCAATCCTTGGAAAGCGCCAGAGATACGGCTTTCCCAGCCAAAGCTTGTTGTAGGTTGGCCTGCGTACCCGTGAAGAGGTATGGCAGATTCAGCACCTGGCAGTTCTTCGCCAGGTGTAACTGCTTGCCTATGTGCGCTCTCCCTCTTTCTACAAATCTGTAACAAGGGCTGCGTGAGGAGAAAAAAAAAAGATGGCAAACCCAGAGCCAGGTGCGCCACCGCTGTGGCAGCAATCCATGAGGCATGTCAAACGACAGCCGCTTGGCAGAGGTCGTACCAATGTCTCAAACAGTTCTGTGTCAAGAAGCATCCCCTCTTCATCGTAGTCCTCGCATGCAGGCGACCCAGAGTCACAGACATGCTGGCTAGCCGTACTTGTCTGAAGAACGCAGAAGAAAGAGTGTGCAGCTTGGGCAATCCATGGCAATCCTCAGGGCAGAGAGTCTCCACATATCCATCCGCCCCAGTATAGCTAGGTTCACGGCCTCCATGGCCAGAATAGTGGAAGAAGAGAGCATCTCCTGTCTGTGCTCTCCCGCACATACCAATTGCCAGCTAGGAAACACAACCCTAGATGTGCTTGACGGAGCTACTTCTGCTCTCCGGATACCGAAGTGCTACTGACAATTCTTGTGCGTTCCGCTGTTCTGGACGGCCTGTTTGGACATCGTGAACCAGCCACTTGATTGCTTGCCTCATATTCGATAAGGTCGGCCGCCGATAGCGTGGCCAGCCAGGCTCATCCAGCAGAACCATCTGGCAGCCCTCATCGGAGGGAAAGCCAAGTTGCTCCAGAAAGGGCCTCATCCTTTTAACATCTGCAATGCAGCCAGAGAGTTCTGCCTCCGTGCCAAAGTAATTGATCCCCACCAATAAGCTTTTCCGCTTGCCTGGAAGTTGCACTCGAGCCTGCGAGGCAGCTTGTGGCGGCAGCACTGAAGGGCTCCGGACGACGACTCCGGTGACTGCTGGGATGCTGTGACTTGACATCATGGCAGATGGACTGCCTGCCTGCGCAAGTGGCTGCGCCATGGGGAAGCCTACAGCCACAACTGGAGCAGCTGCAGCTACAGGTAGGGGGAGGGCTTGCGCAACTCCAGTAACTGGGTGACCCGCAACAGCGAAAGGCAACGTCGTGGTCTGGGCAGAGGCCGCCGCATATGGTGCCACAGGACTGGCCTGCGGAAAAGCGACAGCTGTGGCGGGAATGGCCATTCCACTGGCCGCAGGGACGCCCATGGGAGCCACTGGGACAGCCATGGCCACAGGGGCTGCTGGCAGAGGCTGGCGAGCAGCTGACACGGGCTGGGAGGTGCTGGAACTCATCGGGCTCAGTTCCACTCGGTGCTCCTTATCGCAGTTCCGGCGTAGGAAGCAGCAAATTTGCGATCCCACTTGCCCCATCGCGAGATACCGGATTAGCACTGTGTTGAGCTACATCAACATGTACTGAGAGAGAGCAACACGACTGCACCATGCCCATGCGAGTAAGCATAGCTTGCAGCTTGACTGACTTCAACAAGAGCGCAGCAACTCCCAGAACCAATGCAAATTTCACCAAAAGCTCGACAAGATCTGCTAACCGCTAACCATCTTGTGAGGCTACCGCAGGAGTGGCCGCTTGAAGGCCCCCTGCACTGCAATAAATCCTCTGAAACTCATCCGACTGTTATCCAGGAGACCGGAATCCGAAATTTGCTCCCGACATTTTTGCGAGAGCTCCTCCTTTTATGTTTAACTGAGGACTCGCAAAGGCCCAGTGGATATCCGTGGCCTCTCGCAGCAGCAGCGCCAGAAGCTGTGGCTGGCTCGCTTGCTCCATTAGACCTCCTGAGCCAGATTGTTAATATCAATATATAGATATATCACTACTATTATGAAGATCAATAGTACCAATATTGTCAGGAATTCTATCATGACCAATACTGCTGTTAAATTAGATAGATATACATATTAAGAAGAACAATTCCATGAAACCTGAGATGCCAGCTGCTAACAAATACAGCCCACAGGCGCCGTGGAGGCAGAAGAGGAAGTGTCTGTAGCCCAACCTGCGCGGGCACCCGTCATGCAAAAAAAGTGATGCAAATGGAGCTTAATCATAATGAGATGTAGGTGGTAGCTGGCATGCTGTGGTGCCGGCATAGTCAGAATCGACCACCAGCATTTCCGGGCATTTGAATTGCACCTGTGCAAGACCGCTGTTTTTTTTAATGCAGCGCTGACCGAATAGAGCGCGAAGCGGCACGCCTCAAGAAGTTGACCTTGGAGAATGGGGCCGAGGGAAAAAGGCCAAGGATAAACAAACCCGGCGCAACTTCCGACAAGCTGTGGTCCCACGCATGCTTGCGAGATGGTAGCGTTTGGCTCCGTGTGCGCATAGCGGAGTAAGGCACTGGACAAAGGAAGAAGTAGGGCAGCCTGGCATATGAAGCAACAGAAGTTGTTATCTGCGATAGCTTGCGAACATGCCAGGAGCGGCTGAGGATCCCTGCAAAGATATTCGGGCCTCTAGCTGATGCTCAGCGCACACTCTCGTCACTGACAAGCCCATGGGCAAAAGCCGTTCCCAATCCTGTGGGGATACGTATGAAACCGTGGTACACTTGACGTGCTAAGAGCACTCAAGATTTGGGCGGAAGCCGTGGCCCGGGCAGGCAGGGTTGCCACAGCCGCACCCCGAAGAAGCTGGGACCCAACCGCCTCACACTTTGACGCAGCAGTAATCCTGCGACATCCGGAAGCTGCGCCTTCATCCATGTGGCGGCACTTTCTGGTGTCAACGGCTCCTGGGAGCTACAAGTAGGTTTGCCCATTGCCCCCACACTAATATTGAGCGCATACTTGGCATGAGTTCTGTCTAGAACCATAGAAAGTGCTTCAACATTTCCTTCACACGCAAGATGTCAGCGCAGCTCCTTGGTGAGCTCCTCCGTGGCGCTGTAGACCTTCTTCTGCGCATCTTGGACGCTTTCCTTCGCAGCTTCCTCAAGTGAAAAGTGCAATTTCAAACTGTTTGATGGAACATTTACGCCTTGGTTCTTTGACTCAGGGCCCGAGGCTGGAGCCAAAGTGAAGGCTTTTGCCTTGTCAATGGCCAGCAATGAGGCCGCTGCCTTAAATGAGTGTGTTTTTCACGGGAATTTGTTGGCAAGCATTTCCGGGGGCTCCAAACATCAGGGGCCCTTTTGCGGGAGTCCCTGTAATAAGGATCATATCATATCATGATTCATATTTGGGCCCCTTGTTCGTTGGACCCCTTCTGGAGCTGGCTGAAACAGCATCCCGGGGTGCCAGCTAAAAGCACCAGGCACAACCAGGGGAAGCTCGCTGCGTCCCGTCTGGTACGGCCCATTCTAGCAAGAAATGTCGCCTTCTTTTGCAAGGGTTTGCAAAATTAGATGTGCTTTTTGGGGGGTGCCTATAGTACGGCCTACAGTATATGAGGGGGTGTGTGCGCAGGGCCTCTCTATTTCTGAGAACTCCTATTAATCTACATGCCACCGTCTTCTTAATTATCAGCTGATTGAGCCTGCCAATGTCTGACAAGAGTTGTGCCTGTCATCACTCTGCATCACGTTCACTTTTGCAAGGTGCAGTCAAGGTGTGGTCAAATGATACCGGCCATGCCATTCTGCCATTTGCGCTCGCGCCGGACTCCGCTCCTTTGGAGATAGAAGCTCACTAAATAATCCGGGCTCAGGATACCTCCGAGAGAAAGCAATCGCTCATCGGTACACACCTAGCGCTCCAACCTCTGGCATCCCTTGCAGCCCCCGATCCGGGTTGCTGGCTCATGCCAACTCAAGCACAAAATCTTGAGATCCTACATGTCGCAGACCTCTCGAGCAGACAAATCTCTAAACTGAAACGAAATAAAGCCAGGGCCCTGTGGCCAAGCAAAAACTGAACGCACTTGCCGCTTCTGCGAGCAAGCCACTCTTGGAAAAGTGAAACAAGTTGCAGTCATATGTGCTTGTGTTCTGCGAAAGACAGCTCCCAACCCGCAAAACCACACCAACATCCCAACGGTCAGCACTCGACTGTCAAATCGCCCACATGACCCGAGGCCTCCCTAGCTAGGCCAAGAGGGCATCAAGTGCCAATTCGCAACACTGCAACACTGAAGGGGCGTCTGCGCGCCAACCCTAACCCTACCCAGCCCCCTACCCTATCCGTCACTTTGCCTGGAGGCTGCGTCTCACAAGAGGTTCCTTCACTGTGCAGCACCTGCTCCCTCTGGATCCTCCTCTGATGAACTTGTTGGGTCCGAAAGCTCAACCCGAGTGAACTGCAAAGAGCCTCGCAGTCGTTCACTTCGCCAGTGCGGATGAACTCCTCCTGCCACAGCGGAGAGTTCCAGGCCAAAGCCAAGTGGACAGCTTGCCCTTTTACAAATTTTCTCTGATAGCATCCAGTCCAATTTCTTCTTGATGGCGTCCAACCGACCAGAAGACCATGAGCCTTTACGCTCCTGGGCATGCACTCCCTCGGCGTCATCCTCCTATGGTAGTAGCCGTAACAAGTCTACCACTTGCTGCAACTTTGTAGAGGCCTTGGAGGATACGCGTGGCTTCTTTTTCTCCTTGTCTGGTTTCTCAGCAACTGTCTCCTTGAGAAGCTGCACCTCAACATGGAGTTCTCTTATCGCGTGGCGGAAGAACCCTCTGTTATCTACAAAGGTCTGGGCACGATGTACACATGCTTTTCATTCAGAAAATGAGATGACGAACAACGGGCTTCATACCAGTGAGTACCGTACGCAGCTTTGCAGATCCTTCCGAGCACGCGAGGTTTCCTGAAGTGCCTTAGCTGTAGCTGACTGCCAATCGACTATTCAAATCCTTTACAGCCACATTTTGGGAAGCTCAGGTGCCAGCCTGCTGGATCCGCTTGCCATGCGTGTCGACCTTTTCCAAAGTCTCCCTGCGGTAACGCCAGAGAGTCTCCCGGTCGATGTCCGTCCACACGTGCCTGACCTGTCAGCAGCCAACAACCGGAGAAATTGGCAAGCCTAGTCCAGGAGCGCAAACACTGAGCCAACTGCTGTGAGCTTTAGCCCGTTCTTGGACTTGTGAACCTTTTGAAGTGATCTTCTGAGTCTTCACGAAAGATGCCAACTCTGGAAGGCTGAGGCGGGAACACCTTGCTGAATCATCAGGCGCAAGCGGTCCTTGTCCAGGCTCAGCTCCGTGTCCAGGTCCCGAATGGATTTCCTCGGCTTGAGCCCTGTTGCCAGGGCATTTCCGGGCATGCAGAACACTCAGCTTCGACAAAAACAGGTGTCCTCCGCCTCTAACTGCCAAGTGAACAAGTGTCGCTGTTGCTTCAGCTCCTCTCCAGGACGAAGCTTGCGGCTTGGCGTCGAAGACCTGGTCCTTGGCTCTCAGCTCAGCATACCACAGGTCTTGCCTGATTGGTTCTTGTTTGTTCGTCAACACGGTTATCTTTTTGGTGCTTCTAGCATTATTCTAGTCCTCTCTCATCGACCTCCATTTCCGTGCATCATGGACAGCACTATCCGTGAGGCACTGGTTTAAACTAAACATCTTTAAGCCATTCTCCCTGCAGGCCACGATGCGGTCTTACGGCACCACTTTCCTTGCAGCTAGAGGATGCAAATCACTTCGCCCAAGCTGACACAACTGTCAATCCACGATGTGCTGCGTTTTTCGTGCAACCGCAGCTTCTCCACTGCTGAGCTGTGTCCAGCATGTTGTCCGGACGGAGGGTGGCGGCCAAACGCGCAGCCTGACATGACTAGGTGACTAGCTTTAGAGAGCTGAGCAAAGCCATACCATTCCGCCTTGCCGTGATACAGACTACAAGCAACGGCGCCTGCTTTGCTTTCGACCAGCGCCTACATACAGACCTGGTACCTGTTCCATTCTCCTCATCACTTTCCAGTGACCTTGGACGTGCAAAGCGCGGAAAACTTCTGCTTTTGGCGAAGCTGCATTGTACCATCGGGCAAGGAGATACTCGACCTAGACCACCTAGACCTAGACTTGACAGCCTTTAAAACGGCGATGCAACGGCAGAGCAACATTCCACGTTGGATGCCGAGACACGTAGAACTGCGCGCCGACCCGCTGGCAACTGAAACAGAGGCATCTTCACCCATGTGCAAGCATTGTGCTAGATAGAGATGACGCTCTCGTGACGGAAGCTCCCAGTGCACCCTAGTGCAATGTTACTTCTCGAGCGTTTGGTGGCTTGAAGATGCTGGGGCTCTCTCAAGAAGATGTGAAGACACTGCATAGGGGCCTGGGTCAGCAACTGGTTCTTCGGTCTCCCTGAGAGGATACCAGCCAAGGAAAACAGCTATCAAGACTGCATGCACTTCAAGTCCAGTAGCTCTGGCAAGGCTTCCTCTGGAGGGCCAGCTGGTTCTTCAGTCTCTTCACCTGCTTGGGCTACAGCGTCTGCTTATAATGATAAATATTAGTTATGAGAGTCTGAAGTCAACTTTGGAAGTCCGGTGCCTGGATATGAAACTGACATTACGAGCCTTCGCAGCAGCATTAAAAGCAACACCATACTGGGTGGTCATTACGATGGCCTCAAATGGCTAAAAGTTGTTGCGAGCAGGTAGTCTTTCGGACAGTGAGACGCTGCTTCGTGTGTTTTGCATACTTCCTGCATGCAAGTTGCAGAGGAGCTTGCCGACGCTTAGCATAGGTAGGGCAAACCAAGGGTTATCAGATGTTATGAGAAATCATGAATCATGATTGAGGGTCCAATCCAGGAGGTGATTTCTTATTCTGACTGTTCGGATACGAAAAATCCCTGACCCTCAACCGGAAAGGCCGAGTTCTTGTAATAGGATTATATAGGCTGCACAGGCGACATCTCAAAGACAGGTGCTTCCCATGCAAGAGCCACCACGTGACGGCCTTCATCCTCTTCACGCGGCTCGAAGATCAGGTGGCTTTCAGATCTGGCAATTCAGCGAAAGTCAAAATTACAGTGATCTGCTGTGCTTTCTGATCACATGAGCAAGAAATGTGAGGTCGAGGCCGTTTGAAGGTCTTGGTTCCCTGCTCGCACAGACAGCTCTCTTAGGTCACAGGACAAAGTGTAGAGTCCTCCACACACTACAAGTAGCTTGCAACCACAGGTCACCCTACAGCTCGACTAGTTTTAATCTGTGCTTGCGATTGGGCAGTTCGACTTGCGTCGCCTTCTTGGACAGACTTCTCTTCCAGGGCGCTACCAGGATGCTTTCCTGCTGCCTTGGCTGTCCACAACTTTTTGCAATGGTGTTCATTCACCGGACTGCTGCTGCCACAGAAATAGCCATGGCGAATTGAAATCCAGATCGCAGTTCGTATTCGATGTGCAGTCCATTGACATCTAGTCACAGGCTCTACCAATGCGGAGAACAGCTCACAAGACCCGGGACTATCCAGGCACAGTCGCGGGGATTCCTCAGCCGCAGCAGCAGCCTCTGGATCCTGGTACAGTACTTGTCAGAGGATGTCTTTATCCCGCAAACCGCCACACTCAGCGTCCTCTGGTGAAGCTTCTTTGGCTTCAGGACCTGTTGATGCAAGTTGTGACAAATTTAAATTTAGGATGCCCAGAAGCCACAAACCAGGCTGAGCCTTCAGGTCCTTCTGTCGGCAAATCATCATCTACTGCAACAGGGTCGCTTGCGGGAAGATCCGCTGCACCGTCCCCCACAGCTTTCAGGCACAACAGATTTGATTTCGGGAGCACTTGCGGAACTTTATGCGGGCGTGCTCCTCCTAGAAATTCCTAGAAGCCCAACTGCCATGACTGAATGGCACGCAGCACCCTGTGGATCTTCCGCTTTTGCAGCTTCGGGAGGCTTGGAAGCCTTGCATGTTCTACATTGCATCTGAACTCAGCGCTGGAAAAGAAGCGATGAAATCGGTCCATTACAAGCAGGGTCTTGCCATAGTTGCGGGCCTCCTGGATACTGTTGAGATTCTGAGGCAAAGCTTTTGCCGCACCCAGCGTCAGCTTGGGGAGCACTGGCGTGCTGCTACCTGCCCGTTTATATGCATCATTCACATTTACCGGGCCAGCTGCAGCTACCACTCAGATAAAAAGGCCAGGTACTTTTGCGAAGTGGCGCGGTCTCCTCCGATTTCTTCGCAGGAATACGAGCGTGGGAATTAGCTGCCGGCTTCAATTCTTTGCTGCCTGCAGCCATTCCAGTTGCTGAGATTATAAACCTCACAGCGTTCTACTCGGCCGGGTGGCGCAACACTTGCGCTTCTCGTTTCCTTCGAGCTTCGGTCTTGTTGACGATTCTGGCGACGCCTTGGCTCTGCCGTGTAAAGTGGGTCGCCAGAATGCAGCGTCCCTAGCGTCTAGCAGCATCAGGGAGAAGATTGCTTCGCCAAGGTGCTGCTCCAGCTGGTCGACAGGACCTGCATGCTCGGAACCGCAGAAAGCATCAAGGGGCTCCACTGGGCAGTCAGGTGGCGTGTGGCTGTGTGAGGCCCAGCTTGGTCGGCTTCTGACGTCCTGCTGCACTTGGGCTTGGAAGAAACCCGAGTTTATTGGTCCGCTCTGCAAGCTTTTGCCCCACCTACTTCTGGTCGTGGCGCTGGAGGATTGCCCTCGCATGCATCAACGCCTCTACCAGCGGAGCCAGTCCCGGGATCTTACCAAGTGAAATGTCATTTTGGGGATGGGGTCGGGTTTCTCGCCATCTTGCACGGCTCGTGGGCGCCTTTGGCGTCTGCTGCAAGGGGCCCAACCGGAATTGGCGGCAAGTAGGTCGTGCCGCCGGCAACCATGGCCTCACGCATGAGCTGCCAAATGCCCCGTCCTAAATCCCCTCCTACATGGAGCCACCTGCTTGCAAACGCATGAGGGCTGACGACCTTGGACATCTGACTGAGCGCATGGCGAACTCCGTGCACCACGAGCTACTGCGATTGGAGCCCAAAGGAATTCGATTCGCCAGGGAGGTCCACTCAGCTCAGCCTGTATCTACGTATCCCGCTTATGATCATTCTTTTTGTAGACGCCTCACCCATGGAGTCCTTACACAACTTGCTCGGTGGATAAGCCCGCTTCTGACATGACATGGCGTAATGATCACGGGCGACATGTACTCACAAAACTACAGCGCTGCTTGCAAATTTTGAGGCTTACTTCTGGTGCAGTCAAGCCATCACTGACCTTGCTCTTGCATTCTTGTGGCAAGGCTTCTTGGCAAACAGCAGGCATCTGGGCCATTTGCCAGACTCACGGGATGAAGCTCGTCTGCGCATCCCACAGCCAGCGCAGCTTGAACACGAATCTACACATATCTGTTAGCCTCCGTCTGTGGCGCCGTCCGGAGTATGAACCGTGTTACCGGGGCGTTGGTCCGAGGTCATCAATGCCAAGGGACCCTCCGGATGTCAGGCACTCACATCTTGCGCTTACGTTTTCCTTTTTCAGCAAAGCACTCTGGTGGGCAACACACTGCAAATCAATCTGAGCCTGCTCGCCTTTCTGAGGATGATATTCATTGTTGCCACATGTTGGAAAAGAACGCAAAGTGGCCTACCGGCAACTCCATTTTTTCCTGTGATCAGGAACTGGCAGACTTCTGACAATCTCCCCCGTGCATGATTCTGTCTGTTGCGAGCCCAGTGGCCGGGGCGGACGCGCGCAAGCGCTTGCAATTGCTGATCACCATTTTGGATAGCCTTGAAGTACTCCTGCTGAAATTGATTCATATCTCGGGGGTTTGCAGATGAGCCCCCCGTTCAGACACTCAACGATCTTTGTACCCAGGAGTTTAAACCCTCTTTGACAATGTGAAGGATGTCTGGCTCAAGGCCTGTCATCCTCTGTACGAGGCCGGCATTTGGCAATCCATACATACAGCAAATGAAAATGAACTGCAAGCGTGTGAGGCCCTGCCCTTACGTGCAAATTCACCGGCCTCGTGGCTGCTGCCTACTTCACTGGCCATCTTGATATACCAAATTAACAAGAATATGCCTCAAGCCGTTTTGTTGCTATCCTTGGGAACGCATACCCTCTGGACGGCTGCTGCAGTTGTTCTTCCACTTGTCAAGGTACTTAACAAATGCCAGTGACCTTCAGCCCACCTCGCAAGCTGAAAGCTGTTTCAAAAAATCTCTGAGTGCCTTGGCTGGCACCCGCAAGAGATGCTTTGCATGTCATGTGTCTGCTGCCCAAAGGGCTCGTGCTACGCGAGGCCGCCCTAGAATCTGCGTACGCCCGCCCAAGCGTCAGACATATACTAGATGAGCGCATTGTCACGGCAGCCTCGAGGGCGTTCAGCCCTGGCTTAAATTCTACAAATTCATTTTGTGCAGGTGCTTCTCACCTGCACCAAAAGGATCGACTTTGCCCAGTGCTGACAAGCTTCGATAGAAGGATTGATGTAATCATAAGCTACCAGCACAGGCGGGCTGTCACTGTAAGCTTCGGCTTGCCTTCAGGGCCACGGCAGCCACTGCCAGGCCTTTCCTCTTTGCATGGCACCGGCTAGGCAACCAGACCCTTCCGAATTCAAGAAAAAGTGGCAAAGGGTTGCCAGGCTCAGCAAAAATCTCGGCGTTTGTGGACTGGGCCCGAGTCAGTGTCACCTGGCCGGATAAAGGAGGTCAACAGGGCCACGTCCCCATGCAGCTGAAGCTGAGACCTCCGCCACTTAGCGAAGCCGACCTCCCTCTATCTTGTCCACCGCAAGCAAACTGCAACCACACCACATGCTATCACATGCTGCTCAGCTGCAACATGCTGATTAGGAGTTGCGGAATGCTCGCCAGGGTCCTGCACAGAACCAGGCCAGCATCTGTCTGAGGAGCTACGCGCACCTGGCATGAAGTGACGACAAGAACCACAGCCAGGAACCCGGGAATGCGATGCAGATGGAAGAATCGGGTCATGACTCATGTCAGAACAGCGCAATTTGAGGATGGCTGGCAAGAGTGGCCTGATAGTGGGTGCCGCCATCCAAGTCAATGATGCAGCGTTCGCTGAGGGCCACGAGCTGCCCCGACCTCAAAAAAAAGAGCTACTGCAGCAGACACTGATGAGGTGACGTCAGCATCAACCTGGGGACAATGAGGAAAGTTCCTCAGGCCCTTGCTTACTGATTACCTTGACCGCCTTGTCTCGGAAGTTGCCTTGCCCACTCACTCAGAACACGTGGCCTTAATTGGGAACCACCTAGACAAAAGAAATTGAAGTCGCGATGAGCGTACCTTGGAGTCTCAGTAGCTTCTGCTGATGCTGATCTCGCAAGACGTACTCTCTGCCTCAGAAGGGGGTTCTCTCCAACTGCAGCCACCCCACCTTGCCTCGGCTCAGCTCGCGGCTACCATCTCGCTCCAATGAGCAGAACACCTATTCAAGCTGCCCTCTTTCATCACAAGGACTTTCACCACGTGAGCACAAGTTAGCTCTTCTGACCTCTCCAGATGGTAAACAAATCTCCGGAAGACGCCGTGGTTTTTCAAAGAACATATCTGTGCCTCGGCTGACTGTTTGCGCGCAGAGATGGCTAAGGCTAGCTTAGCTGAGCATCTGGCGGATGGAAGCAAGAGGCTCCCTGTCCAGCATCTGGAGAAAGATACCACATTGCGGCCTGCGCGGCAACGCTTGCACAACAAAGGCCAAATCCACAAGCTTCAAGCGCGCCCGGATCCCGACTCGTTGACAATGATGTGGCCTGAACAAAGACATGGCTTTGAAGCTAAAGCGCTACTGCTGTCTTTTAGTAGCTGAGTGTGCTGCTGAGCGGGGAGCCCTCCAAATCGACCACGCTGAAAGAAAGCCTAAATCATGGATGACTTTGAGGACGTCAAGGAACTGGACCATGCACCTCTTAGAACATTGTCCTACCGTCCTACCTGTGTGACCGCCTAACCTGTGATTGCACATTGAGTAGCATCCATATCCTCTAACGCAGAGAAAACAAGGAAGCCTTTCTACCAGGGCCACGCTGGTCCTTGGCCTTACACTAAGTTCCGCGGCTCCTGTCTTTGGTCGGCGAGGACCTGTCACTTCACATGGGCTTCACATGATCCAGGGCATCCAAGCCAAAGCCGCGAGAGGTTGACAAGGTAAATTGATTCCTGGATGCATCGTATCCAATAAGCATCCCAAGAAGCTTATCAGCAAAAATGAACAACACTCGAGGATGGAAGAAACGTCTCAAATCAGAAGTGAAGGACAAAGCGTGCGGGAACCAGTCAAGACAGAAAAGATGTTATCTGAACCCTGACTCCGGCATCCCGAAAATGCACAGGATAATACAGGACCAAGTTCAGAAATTAGTTGAAGAGCCAGGGAGGTCCGTGTTTCTCTAGCTGGATGCTGTTTGCGCCCACCCTTGCGAAGTCTTGCGCCTGTCGGCATTTCAAAGCGATTCAACAAAGTGTACACAGAAAGGCAGAATCAACAAGTACGAGGAACTTGCTGTTTTTGCGCCCTCGCTTGCGCAAGATCTCGCGCATGGGTGTTCGCACTCCCTTGCAACACCTTAGTGTCGCCTGAGAATGGCTACCATTGGCGGGGGTTTTGAACGGCATCCAGCTGCCTGCCAACGTTGTTGATTAACTCTGACCTGCCACTGAACTTAAAGGCAGCCGAAAAAATTGCAAGCCGACATTTTTGGTGGGCGAGATGGTGGGTGACAACACGCCCACCCCCCATCAAGAAGCCACAAAGCCTCAAACTCGAGGGCCCATCCAAAACATGGCAAGCGATTGCCAAATGTGAAAGCGTTGGCTAAAGGCTTTTTGAGGTCATTGTCCGTCCGGTCCATCATGTGAATCCTCACTTTTTTGTTGAGGCCTGATGCGCTTCTGCGGCATCTTCACTGCAATAACTTCCAAAAGCAGACAAATCCCTTGCATGCACGAATAATATCTGGGTTTGGTGATCAATGCTGTCGAACTTCCACGCAACGCGCCTCGCGCACAGCAAACACAAACTCCATGCCCTCTGGGACCACCTGCAATTTGCGAAGGCACCCAGGCTTCGCAGTCCCATTTGTAGATAGAACAACTGCCAGAACTAGGGTCCGTGCTAAGCAGGGACAAAGGGTGTCCTCCTCTTCCGAGGATCGTGGTGACCAACTAAACATGGCTCCAGCTTCACCTGCGCAAGAAGCAGAGTGAAAGCACGCAGAGCTGCGGCACAGTCGCCTCCGACATGGCTTGGCCGCTTCGGTGGTGGCAAGGATGCTGCTGAGGCAGCTGGTACTGACACAGAACCTGCATCCAATCCGCATCTTGGAAACATGCTTTGCAGCTTGACAGTGTCATCAACTGGGTTAGCTGCTATACGGGCCCGCCCCCCCTGTAGGAGGATACTGCCTTGGCGTTGCCACAATCTGGCCGAAGGCGCGTTATGCAAAAATATGGAGGTAACACAGCAAAGCAGTAAACCCCAAACATGGCAGGTTCTGGGCTGCACGCCTTTCACCACGGGCTCCTCTCTGCATGCAGGCCGGAACCAAATCAAAGAAACTATAAGAAACTACTGGCTCTGAATTTTGGAGTTGGCAGTTTGATCCCCGTAGCCCGACCGGCTTCAGCTTTCATGTAGCATATGGCTTCCAGCATTGGTCGGCCTTGATCGGGGCCGTTGTGCATCTGGCGGCTGGCCTATAGATCAAGAAAAAGTATGGCTGTGGCCGCAAAGTCCACGAAGGCGGATATTCACACCGTTAGTCAGTTGACATGCTGGAGCTGCTTGGTACTTATTCGCAGGCAAGCCCTTCCTGATGGCTCATGAATTCGATGATTGCTCTCAAAATGCCAAGGGTGCGGCTGAGGCCAGCTCTCCAGCCGTTGGAGCCTCGGCGTCGGAAGCATGACCATGCACCCAGCAAACGTGCATTTGCAGCAGTTGCAGAGGCTTCGCAGGCACAGAGCAAATGCTCATCCACCCGAGCAGCTGCACAAATTCAACACAGGTGTTGGTGGCCGGGATCACGACAGGATAGCGAGCCACAGGTCGCTTCCCTTCCGTTTCTACCTTCGGTCGCGGGACAGGCCTTAGCACTCCAGCTATGTGCAGGCGGCAGCTTCCGACATCTCAAAACAGAAGTCTTGGCCACTGCATGATTGCTGGCATACCTGAGTGCAGCTCGCAGCGCTGCAGAAGGCCTGACACACACCGCCAGCCATTGCAAACTTGAATGTGAGAACAGAGAGAGGCCTGCAGAAACCAAGGAAGGAGTATACTGATTATGAGTATTGCATGGCAGCAGTAGCGATCCAGAACATGCCGGTCAGCTTCAAGCACAGAAACCGGGCTCAGAACCATCACTGCAGTCAGCGCCATGATCGTACTCAGGAGGCCTTGCGACAGCTCAACACACACAACCTTTGGCTAAAAAGACGCATGAGGGATTCTGAGTGCTTGGGTTCCCGCCCAAGATCAAAATTGCAGGATCCGGCACACCTCGGTGTTGCATGAATTCAAGGTCCAGCTATGCACAGTGAAGCACGCTCTGGGCGCCCTGCTCCTCCGTGAAATGAGGCCAACATGCGTTTGCAAGAGCCCCCAGGAGTGCTTCAAGTGATGCCACAGGCGGGCGTGCGCTCCGAGCGCCCGAGAACCTCTGCGAAAGAAAGGGTGATGGCTGAGCAGTCAGTTGCGCAATGGAGCAGCAGACCTGCAATCAGTAGTCCGGCTGACTCACTGTGCTGCCCATGAATAGCTTAGGGCATGGGGAATGCCAAGCAGGGCACCGCTCGGCATAGGCGCCTGCCAGTCAAAACTTGTTCTTAGCCATGTGCAGAGCAGAAATGGATTTCAGGCCGTCCTCGTCCAGCTCTATGCTTTCTTTCTGCGCCGGCTCCTGCCAACAAGAAGAGTGTGCTCCCGCCTAGCTGCCGCAGATGCGGGATGATGCTGGCAAGCAAGCGCAGGCACCTCGTCCACAGGCTCTTCCACAGACTTCAGGTTTGGAATCGGAGCCTCTCAACAGACCCATCTGGTGACACAGACTCACTGTTTGCAGGTATCTTTTTTGCTGCGGAAAGTTCCTCCTGAACCATATTGACCAATCATCCAGCTGCTGTAGTGGGTTAAAAGCTGGTGCTCTTCGACACCACCAGTCTCCACACTCCCAGCCATCATCAGTCTTTGTGATGGCCAGCTGGCTTGGAAGGCAATATTCGTAGTCCTCAAATGTGACCCGAGTATCCTTCGGCTCTTGCATTAAAACCAGCTCCTGAACGGGGTGCTGTCCTCTGTGCGCCACTAAATTCACCACGCTAGCACGCCGCTCGCGCAAGCACTGCAAGAATTGTTGGAACCACTCCGGCGTCTTGGAACTCTGCTCCCATTGCAGCGAGACAAACCAAAGCTGCCAATCCAGCCGAGGCATGTGGGTCAAAAGCACAGGTGGTGCACGATTTAAAGGGCCAGGCTTGTATGGGAATGCAAGCTCCACCCAGTACTTGTCGTCATGCGCCTTGCTTGCCAACCCGTCACGTTCAGCCTGTTGTGCCACTTCATGGGGCAGAGCGTGCAGCTCTCTTATCACCACCTCATCCCTGCTAGTCGTCATTGACGCAAAGAGGCCATATCGGCAGGCCAGCTGCCTGGAAAACAGCAGCTCCTCGGCTTCAGCACAGACTTCAGGCGGCTGCGCACGGCTGATCCGGTAGAGGGATGAAACCGTTGCTGGCATGTACATGGCCCAGTAGCAGAAAGTCAAGGCCCAGGGGAGGCCATCAAGCAAGAACCATGTCTGCAGGTTCCGAGACGTGGGACAACTGACCATGCTCTGCCCAAATTGGCGGTCATCCAGCAGCGCAGTTGCGATCACACAAGTTTGCAAGTTGAAGAAACCTGAGAAAGCATGGGCTTGCAAGCACTGGAATCAACACATGAGTCATGCAGTAGGCGCAGTCTGGGGTGTTTCTGGCTCAAGCGCTTCGGGCAGCAGTTCTTATCAGACTGGGTTGGGGATGGCAACGCAGATTTTGAGAGGCACGTGGCAGGGAGAGCATGTAAGCATTCAAAAGCCAAAGTAACAAAAACTTACCCTGAATAAAGCGTAGCAAATTGAAGCCAAATCGCAGCAAGCTCAAGCTGTAAACCGACAGATACACAAAACTGGCAAGTCCCACTATATCAGTCCTATCATACCCTGAAGGCCCTGAAGCCTCCCCAAGACAGACCGGAAATCCTGATCGCCGAACCGGAAATGCAGCACATGGCAAGGTACCGTAGTTCCCAGAAGCTGCGATGGTGACCATCAAGGTGCACCACAAGCACGCGCAAACAGCTCGGCCAAGCGGCCAGCCCAGCAAGGCAAGTAAGGAAAAAGGTCCCTCAACCCAAAGCGTTGCAAGCACCTGTGCTTTGGAGACTTGGAAGCTGGAGCTCCATCTGTGAAGCCTGCGGGCCATTGGCTTGGGCAAGCACGTGGTGCGGTGGTGATGCTGCATGGCCGTTCCAAAGTTCCATTCTGGGCAATTTGAGAAGAGCTTGCAAAGACATGAGCCCCACATCAGCTTGAAGCCCAAAAGAGCGAAACAATGCATTGCGAGCGCGGCGCAGGCCTCCTGCACAACATCCGAGCGAGGAATAGTTGCCAAGGCTGCGATGGCCGCCAAAGCCCCCATTTCCATTGCCAAGGCATCCCACTGGAAGTGCAAGAAGTCCGCCTGCATGTAGCCGCGGTAGACCACTGAAAGCCAGACAAGCGCAAGAGCGACAATGAGGCCGCTCATGGCGCACACAGGCAAGAAGCAAGCAGTAAGTGCTACGATAGCGCAAATGCGCGCAGCAAGGCTTGGCCGCCGGCACTGCAACTCTCGAAGAAGCATGCCTTCCCACCACCAAGGACCATCCTTGCTAGGGAGCACGAGGGGCGATATCCCGTCAGGTCCCATGAGACCATCAGCTTGCCGCCCCAGGGAAGCGAACATCACCGAATACAGTAATAGGGTCAGACGGGACACGACAACCGCTGTGAAACGAAAAGTACGTTGACCCCGCAGCATAGTCCAAGCTGACCAAGTGATCAGGCCGCACAGTGAGCGTGCGCAGGGTGCGCCGCGCAAGCTGGACCACGGACTCACCTTCCTCAAAGGGTCTGAACATGCTCTGATGACTCTTGACGGCATCTGCGACCTCACACTGGTGCAGCGCACTTTGCCAGCCAAAGAGTGCCGCGTCGGCTGGGACATCAACCATTTTTTGGCAATCAGAGTCCTTAACCGGATAGCTACGTTCTTGGATACTGTTAAAACGGGTACAGGAAGGTGCAGAAAGCATCAACATGGAAGGATCTGGAAGGGAGGAACACGAAACAGTGTTGGCATGTGCCGGCAGAGTCAGCTCCGTTGATCTTGGCAGTTGGAAGAAGACATCTAAGGATATTGAAGCGATTGTAAATGCAAATAAACCATGAATCACTTCCGACTTAAGCTGCTCAAAGAAGGCATAATTATTCAGGGCCCCTTGCTCCAGCCCAGGAGCGTGCCGTGAGACGACGGCCATGGCCAGGGTGCCAACCCACGAGGCTCACACATAGCGCGCACAGACTTTCAGTCGTGCCAGCATGAGGTGCTCAATGCCATGCTTGAGAAAATATCCTCGAAGCAACAAGTACGTGGCTTGTGGAGGCTTCAAAGGGACAGGAATGACGTCAAACGGGTTCTGTGGTCTCAGGCATGGGGGCTCATTGGGTGACGAAGCTGTTGCCTTTGCCGCCCCGCAAACCTGCACCTACCAATTCACAGTGCATTTTTTGGTTTGCTTCAACACAGGCATGCCTTCGCGTTTGGGTAGCATCCAAGAGATGAGGTCCTGAACTGACATGCCTATGTTTTTCGGCTCCTGTTCCAGCTCAGGAATGCCTTCGAGCCTTTGAAAAGCAGCTCCACAGGCCCAGCCTCGTCTAAGTACACTTCTGCCTCCTCAGCCGCGACAAAGCTTGCGGGCCTGACATGGAAATCGCGGCTCTGCATCTGGATGTACTCAGTGGATTTTGCTCTTGCTGCAGTTCACACAGGCAGGAGCTGTCCTTACAAATCATGTTGACTGAGCCCGGTTTCCCCCGAAATCTGCTTGTCAGGGCTCACACGCAGTCTGCGCACACGGTGGAGCTTGTATAGACTGACTTGGGTGCAGAGGCATCGCGCATACAGGATAGAACGACAACCTAGCACTGCCATCGCTGAGCTTCTTTATTTAGGCCAACAAATCATGTCAACAAGGACGGAAGCTACATCACTTCTAGCGTTGCTGCTACGTTCATCAGACATAAGAACTGCTGTGACCTTCGTCTCTGCTGTAGGTCATGTGCTTCTACCATGCGACCTGCGTAGCGGCTTTATCCCAAACACCGTCATCATCGTTCATCCATTGCTGCCTCTTGTCGCGTAGCACGAGGATGGCGCAAGGATAGAGAAAGCCGTTTAACATACAGTGGCGAGCCTCCGGCTCGACAAATGGCTGGCTTTGATTAACTCGGGTGCACAGGTCGTGACCTGAATGAAACATCAACCCAGGTTGATTAACTGCAGGGGCTGGCAAGGCTCTTCCTTGCCTGCCTTCGGCACATGAAGCATCTTCACCGGAGACCAGCCATCTTGACCGGCATTGTGAGTCCACTTCTGCACCCCTCCTACGCTACCGCTACCGTTGCGCATCCAGCCGGTTCGCCATGGCCAGGAAGCGGTCTTTCTCGTAAGCCTGCGTCTCTCCTCAGACTGCAAGACGCTGCTCTTAGGTAAGGAAAGCTTCACTTCAGGGCGAACCGTGTTGACCATGTGATGGGCCATCGCACTGACGGGTTGCTGCGGCATGCCACACCCAAATTGCATTCCGGGGTGCTGTTCACGGAGCACAGCGCCTTCTCCCCAATGGCTCCCGCATGCCATCGAGGTACCCCCGCAAAGTCTCCACCTGTTGCTGGTGCTGACATTCTTACAAAGTTCTTGTGAGATTATGCACGCGGTATTGCCATTGAGGGACCGTGCTTGCCCCATCCACTGCGTCGGAATATGCCAATGTCCCCATCCCTGCATCCGATAGAGAGCTGCACATGACAGTGAGAAGGCGACATGAATCCAAGCTCATGAAATTCAAGCAGTCCCCAGGTTAAGGAGGCCAAGCTGCATTGTCACGTAGAGCCGATACCTTCTGATACATGCTTTTCACAGGTCTTGAATGTAGGCTGATTAATGGCAGGCAGGTGGCTGCTGGTCCCGGCTTTCAATGAAGTCGTGCTGGACACTCTGTTCCGTTAGATGTTTGATCTCCTGCTGTGCTTGCCTGGGCTCGCGCAGTGTAAGCCCAAATGAGCCCGCTCATCTGTTGGTGCCAAGACGTGCCAAGGTGCAATAAGTTCTGGGCATGGCTGTCAAGCTTGGAGGCAAGCGCCTTCTGTCCATGGGCGTGGGAGTGCTCAATCTCCTCAATCTTCGAGGCTGCCGCCGAGTGCTGCACGCTTAGCCTCAGATTGGGTTCTCATCCACCACAGCCAAGCCACTCCCTTCAATATCACTTCGTTCTAATGCTCAGATCCAAGGCCGGACTGCAGACTTACAATTTCGGCCAAGACTCTCTTCGAGCTGTCTTGCCACCTGCCCGGCACAAGTGGCACAGTCCCGTCATAGGAACTCCACAACTGTTCCATGATCGAGACAAAAGGTGTGGCCACATCAAAAAAGCAGACCGGTATTCAGGAAGGACGCAGATGGATTGTACAGGTAAATTGATGCGAGGAACCACCTTGATGATGTCTTTCGTTTCTTTCGTTTTCGGGCTCGTTCGCTCGTTTCACCACGAATTGTCTCCAGTCAGTTAGGGGACAATGCCGCGGGCAGCACAGGACCATGGGAATGCTAGTTGACAACAGGTCTCAACGCATGAAACTCTTTGGTTCTTGTGTATTCCCGGCTTTCAGGCTTTCAGGCCTGGCCAAATCTCTGCACCTCCATATGCTGAGTGCGGAGTCGTAGCTCCTGGATATCCTGGGTGCATGTGGCTCTTTATTTGATACGGCCTAAGCCTTAGCCTGCAGGGAATTCATAGCCAGGAGTCCTTGACTGTCTGCTCGTGGCTATCTTGCGAAGTCGTCACCATCTGCCTCAAACATCAGAGTTTCGGCGTGCAGGGAGATCTTTTTCTCAAGTGCAGCTTCGTCGCCAAAGCTCTTCCTTGCCAGTCTTGAATTCGGCCGTTGCGTCGGCGAGGCCCTTGGACACTCCCACCTCATCCAGCATCGGGCTGCAAATGCGCGAAGGACTGTAGCCCTGTCGCCAACTAGATGCGCCTGTCGTTTCAGCTCCCCGTCATGCTCAGCCACTTTGTTGTTTAAAGCTGCGTGGGCAATTTCCTCACAGGGTACATCTGAATTCAGCCACTCCGCCACCCCCTGCTCTTTGTAGCCCTTGGACCTCCTCCTGCAGGGACTTTCGCAAAGACACAGTCTCTGTGATCCAGCGTTGAACTGAAGTGGTGGACTCCTGGTAGGACTGCGACTCCTGCGCAGCAGTGCCGGATCCCTATGCATGCTTGTCTGCTGGCAGACGAATGAGCAGACTTGAATGAAACCCAACTAAGAACCCCTTTTTCATATCAGGCTGTGTAACAAGCATATCCAAGCTGAAGCTTAGCATAGTGATAGTGTCTGGACACTGCAAGTGTTCGACTCACTACTCTGCATACTCTGCAATCACTTTCAAGACAAGACCGCAGCAGCCATTTCCGCTCAAGTACCCATGCATGTTCACGCCCAGCAGCTCTTCACAGCGCCAGCCTAAACCCTCGAGCTTCTACAAGTCATGACCCTGCCTTCGCCATCGCTTCCCGAATCTCAGACAACTCCGTGGCTAGTCCGATGGCTGAGATGCGCGTTTGCTGATGCTCTGCGGCCATCCTTGGTTTTCAATGCACTCTTGCCACCAGCGGTCTGGGGAGCTCATGAAATGCCAATCAGCCGAAGCTTGCCGACGAACCTTGATGCTTCCCAGGATCTCAGTGCAAAGCTGTCGCGAGGCTTGCTCCACTGAGTTGAACCTTTCCTGCCACTGTTCAGCTTCACAAGCAGCCTCCGACCTGCATGCTGCAGAAGACCCACACGCTGATACAGAGTTCATACGAACTCACGACAAGATCACGCCAACGGGTTGCGAACAGCTGGCAACTGGAGAACACAACTTTCAAACAGCCAAGCGTAGTGCAGCTTGGATTGCTTTCACGGCAGAACTCATACTTTGGAGAGGCTTAGGCAGATCCGGGGCCGCTGGCTGCACATTGGCAATCTTCTCGGCCAGCACTTCCTGATGCCAGGAATGTCTGAAAGTCTAACCATTCTCGCGGCCATGCTTTAAGTTGAAGATTGCGCCTCTGATGTTTTGTTCCGCTGCAAAACAAACGTCCCCACCGACAGCATGTGGCTGTTACATGTTGCATACATAATAGCCCATGCAGTTTGCTTCATATCCACCACTTGCCTCCCGCTCACGCAGCGCTGCGGCGCCAGTCTGCAGCGCGCCCTGAATTTTGCCTTCCACCTTGGGCCAGGAGGTTTACTTGATCCTCTCACTGCTCACCCAGCACTCACACAGAGCTGGCCTGGGTCCCCAGATCCTCAAGCATGGCACGGCTTGCGGCGCTGCCACCTGCCATGTAATGCCACATAGATGCACGCGGAATCACGCAGACAAGCGCCAGTCTTGAGCACGGGCGAGCCACTGAAAGAGTTTTGGAACTCAGTTATTCTGGCGTGGACATTCTCGGACAATGCGCGCTGATCCTGACATGGGTAAGGCATATGCCATGCTGCGCCGACTGAACCTTGCATCTCACAGGCTGGCCTCTGCCACAGCCATGAGCTGTGCTCCAAGCTGCTGTGCTATGCTGTCCAGGCCTCACTGCCAGAAATCTGAATCCTATTGCATATTACTGCCAACTGCCAGAACTTCCTACTCACAAAAGGAAACAAACGCATGCCATGCCACAACCACCCAGCCGCTGAAGCTCTCCCTCCGTGCTACGGCTTCGCATTGTCACCTGGCCACATTGCATACAGACAGTCTGGCCCTGCCAGGCTCCACATTATGCGGCCATAGCTGATAAAATCAGGCCCACCTCTTCGTTCAGGAGGGAAAGCCGCTCCTCGATGTGCCCATGCACCTTGTCGAATCCAAACAGCCCAACTAGCATGCGCGAGTGAGGATGCAGGCTATGTCACCAGGTGTCCCTTGGCCTCATTACGAAGCGATGAAATAGCAGAGGCAACAGTATCCTGCAGCCAACGACTTACAGCAAACGTGATGATTCGTTGTCCTGGATTTTGAAGGCTGAAGAGACGGCTCCTTTTCATGGAGCCGTTCTTGGCGGTCAGTGTGCATGTCCTCGCCTAAAGCACATTTCAAGATGACGTCACCTTCAACTAAGTGGCCCAGGCTGGGAGGCTGGGGACTGCACGGACCTCCTCCAGGCCGGCATGCAACTTTTGCAGGGCCTATGCTGCCATCAGGTCAAAGTCAAAGCCCCAGTGGAGGCAAAGAGGCGAATATCAGTCACACATTCTGGCAAGCCGCCTCTGCAAACTTCATGAATTGCTCACGCAGAAGCCTCAGCAAGTTCATGTCAGGTCCTTATCAACTTGTTGCAACAAGTGCACCTTGCACTCAGCTGAGGAGCTCTGACTGCTGGAAAGCCAGGCCTGGCATGTCAGATCTCCGTTCATTTCTTGAACCAGCTATGCAGCCCCTCTGCAGTTCAGAGTTCGGAGGCCTTGTTGTCTCACCAAAGGATCCATGTTGGGCATGATGAACCTTGGATGCTGGATAGTTTCTCCAGAATCAACGTCTGTAGTTTGATCAAGCGGCGGCTGCCGAGGGGAAATGGGCGAGCCAGCATCGGGAGCGTCTGGAGCTCCTGGAGCTCCTTGACGGCTTGGGCTCTCACCTGGCCGCATCGCTACTCGCTGGCTCGCTGGCGCAGGAAACTGCACCCGGGCCTGTCGGCGGTGGTGGGGCGGATCGGCGACCCTCTGCAGTGGGTGCGACCGAGAGAAAGGCCGCAGACGGCGCCGATGGACGCCACAACGACATGGCAAAAAATGCGTTGGACGACTCTGTGAACTCTGAAGTGGAGGGCAGTTCTACCTAACAGTACATAACAGCTTATCAACGAGTTCCATGCGGACCCTCATGTAAACTTGAAACAATCAGCCTTGCAACTGATCCGAGGACTTGTTGGCCCTAGTTTCCATATGCTCGAGAGCGGAATCTACACACAAGCTCTGCACACAAAGTGCTCCTTTGAATGACAAGCTTGGGACAATGCGGCTTAGCGATCTCAGGTGAATGAAGAAGCTGTTCAGCTCTCAGAGCTCCAACTCGTCTCAGCGTCTTGGCCACGTGCGCCTTCGTCGTCTGCTGAGACCCGACCTCCAAAGGATTAGTGGGACCTCCTTCCCGACAAGAAAAGACCAACAGGATTTATCGTGCTGCGAAGCTACCTGGGAACCTCGGGAAGGGTTTTGAGATGGGGGCCTGGTCGCTGCATGATCCTTGGGTTGAAAGGTCATCAAAGCATTGCAAAACCTGAATAGATGGCCCGTGTCCCCATCACCCGCACATGCGTGCACAATGAGAAGCTAAAACCCGGGACTTCTGCAATGTGCTCTGCGTGATGCATCTCTACATTTTTGCGTGGCACCGTATTCAGCAGCTCATGCGGGTACCGACATGTGCGAGCCTGGGATCACCTTGTGCGCCGACCTTGAGATTGTCAGCGAGTCCAAAACTCCGAAGTCGAGAAACCCTACTTACTTTACTAATCCATCTTGGCATGGTAGAATGGACTGTGGATGGACTCGATCATCTGAGCATGCTGCTGCGTGCTCTTTTCGCTGTGCTTGATGCCAAGCTCCCTGGTGCCAAGGACCCACTGAAAGCGCAGTAGATCAACAGAAAACGTGCATCTACTGGCCAGGGCAAACATCTCTTCAACTTGTGCCTACAGTATCATTCATGACATTGCAAAACATCATCCAGCCAACGTGCACAACTCATGTCAGCTGTCCATGGATCTGGCACCTCAGAAACATCGGCAGCCGACAGTTGTGCCAAGTCCTGGAAAAATATAACACAACGTAGCATTCTAGCCGATTCTAGCCTAGCCCTTAAACGCTTGTTCCATTTCTGCAGCCAGGAGGCTAGACATGGCATACACAAAAAGAGATCATTTTTATCACTCTCTGTCTAACAAGGAGCTTGCTTCAGGGATAGAAGCCCAATTCCAAGCTTACAGCGTCTGCATCTAATTCCAAGCCCTATGGACGGGCGGAAATGCAGGGATATCAAAATTGAATGTTTGTTTTTGAAAGCTTCCGATGAGATAGAACCTGGATCAAAACTTACAGCACTTCTGGATTTGTATTTGCTTGTCTTGCAACTGCTCACAACAACTTCCTGTCCGTCACTAGGCTTCTTCTTTCCTCTTAAGACCTGTTGATCTCTGCTCATGCGACAGTGCCAAGACGTACCTAGCAGAATCAAAGGCGGTCTGTCAAGCTTACTGCATTCTTCAGTCGAGTCCTTTGACCTGACATCAGAGCCGGAGGCTGCAGAGCCAAGCTCCCATGACCTTTGATTCGTCCGCATCAAGGCACTCACTCTCTGGTTCAAAAGCTGGTAGAAAATGCGATCCCGACCAGCACGTCAGAGCAATGAACAAAGCCTGGGTCATGCAGGCATGTATATAAATTCGCAAGAGTACCACACAACAAGCCCGGGCCTGCATCTCTCTGCATTTCCCATGCATTCTCTGCGCAACCCTCGCCGATAATTCAGCTTCGGGATCTTGTTTGATATTGGTGCTTCTTGAAAGATTGTGATGATGATGACTTGTCAGACTCTCGCCGCATGGTACGCGGCCCTAAGCCGAACACGTTCCTAGGATGCTGCTCACGTCCTCTGCTCGTTGAACTACTCCATTTTCCTTTCAGCTGGTAAACGCAAAATGTTGAGGGCCAAGCCGAGTTAACACATCAGGCGTGGGTGCAACACCTCACGCAGTTTTTCCTGACAAGTACAGATGACCTTCTTAAGAGCCTGGCAGCTAACAAGAGCAAATGCGAGTTGTCTTGATTGCGGCAATCACGGTGCTACCTGTGCCTCTTTTAAACCACGCCAGTCCACTGCTGCCTGTGTACCGCAAATTCCGATCACTTCAGGCAGCTCCCGATAACCTGCCTGTCCTGCAAAAAGAAGTTGTGAGTGAGCTTGCAACTTCAGGCTTTGGCATCCTGACACTGGCAGGACGCCTGTCCACGACGTCCCTTGCCGAGCTCAAGGGCTCGTACTCTTGGACCAGGAAAGCCTGCGGGTGGAAGTCCCATAACTATACATTACATGCGGCGAGGCCACTCAACCTGTGAGCTCCCCACCCGGAAGATGCCCCAACGCTGCTGAACTCTGCGTACCCGCTCGGACAACGTCTCCATTGGCAACTCCTCCTAGATAAACAGAGCATTTCATGTGCCTTCGCTGCACGTACGTACTCACGCGAAACCGCCAGCACGCTCGTGCACGTCCATTTGATGCAACAGCTAGTGTGGCCCACCTGCCTCCAAGGCTGAAGCGTCCTGAAATTGCCATGCAATGCTAGGCCATGTATACAAGGGCTTTCTTGGTGATGGGCGTCAGCGCCAGGCTTTTCCACCCCCAGTCTGATGGCGCAACCTCGTGGTTTTGTGGCCATCGCGTTCTTCCGCTTATACCCAAATGCACGCCCTCAGCATTGCTGCTAGGCTTCATTCAGCCACACATAGAGCACTTGCAAGCAGCGCAACAGCAAACCTGAGCATCAGGGTTGGCCCGGCCGCTCACTTGATGCTTGTACAACCTGGGCCGCCGACCCCGCAGTCGTAAAGCTGGCACGATAAAACCTTCCGTGTACTGGCATATGACATCTCGTAAATGCACAGGTTGTCCTGCCTTGCAACTTTGTGATCTCGAGCAGCTTCAGCCCCCCAGCGCGAGGGCCTCTGCAGCGCAACCTGGGCGTAAAAGGAGCAGAGTTTTGAGGACTGGCAGGGGTAGGAATGGGCGTGAAGAATGGGCTGTAAATCGTTGCTGAAGATGCCTTCTAGGAACCCCGGCTGAATGACAACCTGTGCCCTGCATTTCGAGCACCCAGCAGGAAGAACTTCCTGACTGCAACTTCGAAGGCAAGCGAGCATGCAAGCAGCTCAGAACCTACGGGTTTGCAATGCTCCTTGGTAACGTCTCAGGGTGCATGTAAGGGAGGTTTTTCACCCGCTTGCCAGCTCTCGCACCGCCTTCAGAGGCATGGCGCGCCTATTGTGGGCACAGGTGGCGCACTTTGAAACACTTTCTGACTCCTGGCAAGGCAACCGCACCAAATATTGGGACCCCAACTGCCAATGTCATATGCACATAGCTGAAAAGGACAAAGCTCTCGTCCAGTCAAGTGCGGCTCCTTGCAAAGTTTGGTAAACTTTGGGCTAGGGGCTGGGCAGGACTTCAAGAAGCCCTAGCTGTAAACACTCGCCAGTCAACGTCCCAACCCCGAATTCTTCTAGTGCCATGCAATGCAAATGGCTGGTGGCCTTCCGTTAAAAGGAACGCTCGCCTGCTGTTCAAGTTGCATGCCAGCAAAGGCTCAAAAAGAGGCTTCTCAATGCAGCGATCTCAAATCGGCTTCCAAATATCTCCGCTTTGACTGGTGATGTTCGCTACCAAGTTGCTGAGCGCAGCCTCGGGGTTGAGCTACAAATTTTACAGTGACTTTTCACGAGGTTTAAAAATGAGTCGTGCCGCGGCCTCTGGTGGAGCGGCGATCCTATGGTTGGATCACATGTTCAGACATGTTCAGAAATCATCTTGATCTTAGGGACTCGCCGCTTGCAAAAGCACGTCATCCCTTCTCGGACGTAAAAATTTAGGCGCTGCGATGGGGCGAGGCCATGGCCCCGCGAAGTCGCGCTGCCTTAAAAATTCCTTTCGGGCCTTTGGCACACGAAAAAATCATGCATTCCATCTCGAAATCACGCAAAGTTCTACACTCTACACCAAGGCAAGCTCAGCCCCTACTCTGGGCCATGAAGGTGTGGAAGGGAAGACGTCCTGCGAATGGGAGCCGCTTCCTCATCTGCATCCTCCTTCACCTCAATGAATGTGTTTTTGACCAGCACTTGGATGTCTTTGGGCGCGGCCAACACGTTAGCCACATCCGATGTACAGCTTGCAGCTGACGATTCTCGGCTGAACCCCGACGGATGTGACTCCAGTCCTTCCCAAGTCGTCTGGCGGCTGAAGGAGGGTTGGCCGCAAGGAGAGCTTTCTGCAACTTTGCTTCCACATTGCTGGGAAGGCCAGGTACCCGCCGAGCAGAACATGAGCTTCAAGGCAGCCTGCTCATGCAGCGAATGCTGCATGCGCAAGGTTTGCAAGGCTCGAAGCGTGGCATTTGCGTTCACCTCCTCGTCTTCAGGTTGTGGTGCTTTCGGCATGTCCCTGCCTGGCCTTCCCAGCTTAGCTGCTGAGCCTGGCCGAAGCTCATGCTTGCCATGTGCGAAGGTGCAAGCCTCTCCGCGAGAGCACCTTCCCCTTTCAACGAAGTCTGCACAGAGTCGGGTTTTGGAGAAGTTCGGCTGATCCCGCAGTTGGTCTGAGCCATGCGCGAATGCACAGCTCGAGCCACGGGTACAGGCTCCCATTGCAAAGAACTTGCACAGCCGGGTCTTCTTGTGCGCCTCCAGGCGCTTTACCTGAATCTCATCCTCCATAATCACTTTGGAGCTTGCCGCCAACATGAGCTGAGAGGCGCAAGGGGGAGGCCCTTCTCAACTATAGGAAGCTGCAGCAAAAGATTTGCGAGGCAGGATTTCGCAAGAATTCGGGTGGCCATCACCTCCTACCATCGCACGGACAGGTCATTGCAGCGAATCTTAACCTTCACTCCTGGCGCAAGGCAAGCTACAGTTTAGCAGCTTAGCACCTTGGGAGCACGATGCACATATGAATACATTGTGTGCACTTGCGGACATTCCCAACTGCAGCCTTTGCTAAGCGAACATGATCTCCTTCCAATAATGAACACCTCTTGCTTCTTTAGCTTGAGCGTTGGAGGCCTGTAATGATGAAACAGGGTTATCCCTGCCCAGCTACCGTACTATTCTCATGGAACTTTGGAATGGGTCGGTGCATCCGGCTTTCTGATAGCAATCCGGTCCGCGATTCTTACAGGAAGAAACTAATGAAGCACAGCAGAAGCTGGAGGACAGTTTTCCTCTGCGGAAAAGGAATGGCTCTTAAACCACGCTGGCTGGTGGCAGTCGGTTCTCCCCTTTCGCAACCAGGCAGCGCCTGTTCAGAAATAGCAGCGCTCAATGCAGGTTGTCTGCAGCACTGCGTGCTTGAAACACAACAGAAAGAGAAAGATGCGAGCTTGAAGTCGTGCCGAGATTTCCAATCTTCGGCTCCATACCCACGTGCCAACAACCGGCAAACTGGGAATGATCAGTTGATGTCATGATGTGGGCCATTTTGACAGCATGCCCATGTATGCAGTGGGTAGACGGCTGGCCTTGCGGCCTCCGCTCAAACTCGCCATGGGATGCCATGGGGATATGGTACCCAGCTCATGCTAAAAAAACTTGTCGGCATTTTGCCACTGCTATTGCATGCTCGAATACCTGGCAGGTACCATGTGGCCCAGGGCTCACTTGGTAAGCTCTGGGCTGATAGCCTTCGTTGCGCTGCAGGACCCGGTGCCAAGAACCGGAAAAGGCCCTGCGCTGCCTTAAATCCTTAAAGAATTGCAAGCAAAGAGGCCGCGGTATGCCGCAATGATATACAGTGCCGGCCCACTTTAAAAAAAAATGCCAGCTCGAAACTAGCTTGAACACTATGACTAGGCGCGTTGCATTATGCAACCAATAGTGAAGGAAGCGACCGAGACCTTTGCATAGAGGACTCCTCTGGCAGCTCCTCGTGGAACTCCAGAAAAGTGTTCTTCACTGATCTTTCCACCCCGGCCACTGGGATCAAATTCGGCAACTCTCGATCAGTACGGCTCGCCGGAGTGGATGACCACATGTCCTCTTCTGCGCTGGCGGCGGAGGAGTCGCGGC